AGAAAAAGAAATTTAACTAAAGTTTGCTCAAAGGAAGATATATATGATGAAGCCGTGTGCTTACCTTCCCAAAACGTTTAGTGTCCAAAAGGGCAAAATCCTGATAAATGCTTGTGCCCTGATGCAATACTCTGTTGAGAGAGAAAGGAGATGAGACTTAGTGCAATGAATCTAATGGAGTGAAGAAAGAGTAGAGTTTTGTTTCAGATGCTGCCATGCCAGTGCTAAAGTTCAAAATTAGCAAAATACATCTGCATGCATGATATACGAAGGTGGAAACTGATTTAAGTACCACCGGTGAGATTTGAGAACAAATTACCGGTTCAAAGCAAAGGACCATTTGAGATCATCATCAATGGTTTCCTCATACCAATAATCATCAACAGGGTGGGGGTGGCTCTCCTGGATGATGGTTTGATGGGATTCATTGCAAAGTTTAGAGAATCCATTTGGATAAAGTATTTCCACAGACTCAGTACCCATGGTCAAACAACTCCAACTAAAACCCAAATGGAGTAATAAAGGGAAAGATGCGAAATGGAAGAACAGAAGAAGGAAAGGCAGTAGGTTGGGGAATGTGGGTGGAGGAGAGAGCAATTTATAGCATCAAGTGATCTAGATGAGGCTTCTTGATACGGAGGGAGCAGGGATGTGCTAAGTATAGTTGCATATATATATATATATATATATTGTACATTGGGAAATTGAGGGAGTGGAGGAAATTTTTCAACTCATTAGTAGGAGTAGAAGTTCAACCAATAGAAGCCAAACACTTAGATTTGAAAACGAATTATTAAACTTAATAAATTGGTTTGCTTTTGAATTATATATATTATTTTATTTTTAAAAAAAATACATATATAGGGAAGAATTGAATTTAAAATAAATTATGAACTTATTACTCAAATCATATTTAACTTAACATGTAATTGAGAAAGGCTTAGAGGATAATTGATTAAATTATTGGTATAAAAGCACTTTTTACTTATATAGTTAAAATTTTAAACGTCATTTTTATTCTCATTCCTCTTCCCCAGGGGGTTTTAACCCTTTGGTAAGTCTCATAAAATATTTATTTTGATAAGTGTGGTCAAAATATGATAATGTAGAGTGTAATTATTATATTTTTTATATTAATTATTATTAAAAAATAAAAATTATCATTATCTTCATTGTTAATATCACATGAATCATTTTAATTAAATAATTACTTAAATAAATATGCGATGAAAAAAAGCATGAGGAAGGCACACGTCGATTTGAACATAATCAAACGGTGAATTCCAACCAACATGATCAAGTGGCGGAATATGAAAGTGGTGCGGCTTGGACACGTGCTTCAGTAACTCCGGTTAAACATGCTTAAATGCCATCGATTGGGCATGATGATCATCAGATGATAAAGGAAACAAATGTTGGGCGTTGGACTCATGAAAAGAGAAACGAAATTATTGAAAATGGTGCTTATTCAAAGATGTCTGTTTTTTTTTTTTTTTTTTTTTTTTTTGAACAAGTTGTTAAGAAACGGATTCAAAATTCGTCTATAGAAAAAGAGAAATGCATCTTAAATTGGTAGGATGCGAATTAACTCGAAAGATCAAGTACTCCAAAGATGCTTGTTTAGCTTCTAAGAATGAAAAGTTTAAAATGTATTTTTTTTGTTGCGTTAAGTTTTATGGTTTGATAATTATATATATATATATTTTAAAATATATCTTTTAATTTTTAAGGTTGAGATTTAAATTTTTTTAAAAAATTGTAATCCATTAAAAAAATGTATTTTCTCTATATAACGTGAAATTAAATATATAGATACTTATTAATTATTAATTTATGTGTGATTTTGAATAAAAGGAACATTTTTAATTTTTTAACATCGTGAAAAAAGGGCGTTAATCACAAAATAAAAGCTCATGCTACATTATAAAATATATTATTGTTAAAAATATTGTATGGATGAGTTTCTCATTTTGTAATATGATATATATTGGATTTTATAATATTTTTTATTTTGAAATTAACGCTAAAACCTTTAAGTTCACCCTTAAAAAAAATTGGTAGGGACTCATCCACCTCTAAAAAAAAAGTAGGTATAAATTGTCCATTCAAATCATAAATCAATACAAATTATAAATCAATACAAATCACTCATTTTCCAACGAAAAACGTTAGAATTCTGTTTGTCACGTCAGTATTTTATAACGGAAAATGTTGAAAAAAGAGTGATTTATATTAATTTATGATTTGGAAGAGCAATTTATCCCTACTTTTTTTTTAGGGATAGATATATTCGTATCGATAATTTTTTAAAGATGAATTTAAGGATTCTGCCGAAATTAACAAACTATATAAAAAAATTATGTTTTAATATTCAAATTATATTAGATTATAAAAAAATTATTAAATAAAAAACTTTTAATATTAAAAAATTTATTATAGTTTATAATTAATATTATTCTATTCAGTCAACAACTTAAATAATTTAGTTATTATATTTTTTTATTAAAAATAAGAGGTACTGAATTCAGATTACATAACATACGAGTGAAATGAGATAAGAAATGATAGATGACTGTCTCTCATTGTACAACTAAGATATAAAAAAAAAAAAAAAAACCAATTCAACTTTACTCCGATCACAAGACATTTTTTCAAAAAATTGAATAAGGGTCAAAATCTACACGCGAATGCAGAATATAATTCTGACACGTGACACGTGGAGGAAGAAAACAGGTGGCGATGTGGGGCTTGAGTTAGTTGCACTTTCGGCCCAAAGGCCGCAACCGAGCCCGAGTAGTGGTGGAGTGTACTATAGTCGCACCGAGGGGAGACCAGGGCAGAAGCCTACCAAGGACCCATCCAATTTTGGTGGGTCCCACCAAAAGTGTTTGAAGATGGCACGGGGCAACGGTGTACGTACGTAATATGTCGAGCGTGGGATGAACCCACTTACTAAGATCTTTTGTGGAGAACCCACTCTGCTATTGTGTTTCCTTTGTCCATCATATCCCATTTCCTCATTATCGTGCGTTTGTGGGTTTAAGATTGTATTTGTTCCATTACAAATGACACTTTTTCTTCCCACCATCCGTTTATGCAAACTAAGCATTATCAAGCTCTTGATGTTTATCACCAAGTAGAAAAAAATTTTAAATTAATCTCAAGTGATTCAATAATAATTTAATTTATATCTTTATATTTAAGATTTATAAATACAGAATTCAATTTCTACTAATAACATTTGAAATCTAAATTCTCTTTTTTCTTTGTTATTATTATTATAATTGCACTTTATTCAATTTATTCTCTCTTTTAAGAGAAATATTAGTATGTGTAAAGATTAGTATCCATTGATTATTTGCTTAAACTTTAATATCACTCAAATATTTTGGTACATATAAAGGTTTAAGGGTGGACTCAATTGCCTAATTGATGCTCTAATTAATTGGCTTTAGATTCTCAATTCTAAAATCATAATAAAATATTTAAATCTCTACAACACTAAAACGTGCTAACACTTTTTTCATGTTGAAAAAGAAAATAAAAGGTAGTTTTATAGAGGCCGCATTTGCAATCTGTGGTAGTTGTAGTCCTTGGGATTCAACCTTTTCCTTAATGGGGAGACAAGGGGTAGAAGAATTTTTATATCAATCCACAAAGGGATGTCCATACATGATTCATTGTTAGGGCAGCTTTATGCAATCGTTTTCGAGCCCTTTAAAAATGTACTACATACAACTAACCTTTTCCCCAAGATATTGAAGTCAATGGCGATATGACCTCCTAATATTGGGAACAAGACTGTTGAATTAATATGCCCTTTTCGTCCGATCATTTTCCTTATAAAAGAGGTCAAAGTTAATGTCTATACTTAATTATTACTTACGGCCATGCTTAATTAATATTCAAGAAGTAATAATCTTTTATCATGTCTCTATTTTATTCTTTGTTATTGAAGAAAATATTTAATTCAACTAGATATCTCAAATTAATTAAAAATTAACAAACTAAGTTTTTTATGTCATATAATAAATTTTTTGTGCTTGATTTGTCTTAAATATTTATTAATAGGACGAGTTTATTAACTATATAAAAATTTATAACATGATATCATGTTATATTA